TAAGGACACAAAGTGTCTTTCTATGAATAATCGCAGTTACCGAAATCTCAACGTCTGTTACAACTATTAAAAAAGTAATCATTTCACCAACTAAAAACATCTTGTTTAAATTACAATACCAACCTTACTTTTTGTCAAGGTCCCGACAAAAGATATTAAAGATGTTCTATAATTGTCTTAATAAAAAAAATAGGAAGATTCACCTTTAGTGCAACAGAAGACAGCAATACAGATATCAAGTGGTGTAGATTTAATTTATTAATAGTCATGATCACCGTACGACCTTCAACCATTGAATAGCAAAACTTATACCATAATGTATGCTAAAAAAGGCCATATGACATGACAAAATTCAAAACAATTCAGACGAAAATTATTTCATTTGTAAATGTGTAAACAGTGTAGTCGAGCAAGGAATGACATAATTCATACACAAAGTTCAAATGATTTGAATGTTATTTATTGGTTTTTCCTGCACTTGCCATTCAAAGTCATATGTAGCTCCAATCAGGTGATTTGAATGTTATTTATTGTTTGTTCCTGCCATTCAAAGTCATATGTAGCTGCAATCAGATGATTTGAATGTTATTTATTGTTTGTTCCTGCCATTCAAAGTCATATGTAGCTGCAATCAGATGATTTGAATGTTATTTATTGTTTGTTCCTGCCATTCAAAGTCATATGTAGCTGTATTCAGGAATAATCAAAACAACGAGGACCCCCTACGTCGACGTTCTTGCAGTTATGATGCTTACATGTGAGGGGTGTTTATTTTTATTGGATTGCCGACCATATGTTTCAAAAATAAAGATCGGCAACACAAGCATCAAATACAGTTGTTCTAAAAGAGGTGAGCAAGAGTGAATACCATATTTTTCGCACGGTATTCGTTAATCGTGCTTGTCTGGACACAACATCATCAAAACGAAATCGGCGGGGAGAATATTATTCTATATATCACTGAGGTATCTGTATTCAAATAGAAGATACCATAACCTCTAACAAACAAATTGGAACCAGTATCCGCTGTACATAATTTAACGAAAACAGAACAGCAAAAATTATAATGCAAGAATCCTACCAAACTGCACTAGAGCTCCTGAACCAACCAATCAGTAGTCATCAGAATATATTTGTTGAGGAATAAACAGACTTCCTCTTGTGTGGTATCATTTTTATGTTATTTCTTGATAATTAAAAAAAAATTGAAGTTTGCGGTAACCTTGTGAATTGAAATTCAGTTAGTAGAAAACTTAAGATTGAATTTATAGAAATATGTTAATTGGATACTAAGTGATCATGGAACCAGCATCAAAGCTACAATTTGTTGTACAATGTTAGATTAGGTGACAGATTAATCTCTCGAAGGGTACAAGTCAAGTCAGCCAACCTAAATTTAAATGTAAAAAAGACATTGATTTCTTACGCATTTCCATTTCCAGGACCATCAAAACCCAAACACACGCCATTTTTGCAATCGCTTATCCACCAATAACCATCATCCTCTTGCCAACACCATTCGCCATCATCTATACCTTCACAGCTAAAATGAATCTCTCTTTCTCCGTGAGTCATTATTCCCCCTGCAAAAAATGGACCCTTCTTGAATAGCACGAATAACAAAAGATAAAGTGCTCGTATGAGATCTCTTTAGTATATCTAAAAGTAGATTACAATGTGAAATGTTTCCAAAGATAGATAAACATATGGTAAGAAATATTTAAGAAATGACTGTAATATTCTTTCTGTATATGAAGAAATAACATAAAAAATGTGGTGCACACTGAATAACCTGCGTAGCGGGTTATTTTAAAGTCTGCGCCACATTTTTTATGTTATTTCGAATAGACAGAAACAATATTACTGTCATTTCTTATAATTTAATTCTAAATTTCATTTAAACCGGAGTAAACCATGAAAAAACGTTGATGACGTCACGGTCACATGACGAAATTATGTCTAAGAGCTGATAAACAAAACAACGTCAGCCAATCAGAAGACGTGTTACATCCAAAATTAAATTATTTGAATATATTTGAAAGTTCTTTAGTTCTTTTGTGCTTTCATTAATTCTTACTGTTTCCAAACAATTGTATTTTATAGTGCATGTTATCGGCAATTTGTACATGTTCTGTTTATTCTACTGCATGATAATTTGTTAAAACAAGAACAGGGCGTGATACTCTAAAATATAAGGTAATGTTCGGACGCCATGTAAATATTCAGCATTGTCACGATGTCATGGAAATCCGTGTCAATATATCAATGAAATGCACATAACATCATTCATACAAGAGAGGCGGACGATACATTGTAGCAAAAGAATAGTCAAACTCAAGTCGAATACAAACTGACAATGCCACGCCAAAAAACGAAAACGACCGACAATCAAACAACAGTCTACAAAATACAACATAGGAAACTAAAAACTGAGCATTAATAACTTCTTTTCAGTAGGCAGCAACACTCTATCAAGGTAATTATGACAGTTCTAGAGCTCTAGAATATCGTATTAACTGGCAGGAATGCTGCTACATAGAACTGAAAAGCTGTAATTATCTCTTTTGTCGTACAGATTTGTTCTCATTCGACCCTTATTTGTCAATGCAAGCTTTAAGTGAAGATATGAGGCAGACATAACTGATTTTCAAAGTTTTTTTCTTATCTTGTGCTTTTTCACCACTGTCCCAGGTTGGGGAGTGTTTCGCGCCAGAAAAGATAGTTAACCGCTCCACACTCTGTATAGCAAACACCTTTATGTCCACTAACTATGTTATTTTGCTTTATGTATGTATTACAGAAAACATGTTTTGTATCTATACGAAAACAAACTGCGCATCATAATGTTGTTTACAACGATAGTGACCACATGAAAAGTTGTGGTTACCGTTCAACACGATGTTTTAATTTGACCTTCATCTAATTTACATCGGAGAATCTTTAAACTGTTTCAATTGATGAAAGTCAAGGATGCATCAAAAGGGTTGAGCAGTAACAATACAGATACATTCATGTTACAAACTCAATCAATTTTATTTTCATGTAGCCCCTTTGTTCTAGCTCTGGGAATTCTTTATCTTTCATGTAACCTCAATAGTAACTGTTTTTGTTTCTCTGGCAGACATATTATATACATTTACCTAAATATCTACCTGTATACAAGCATGCATTTATTTTCTCTAACGTTTAGTGTAAAGATGTTTTCAAACATAATGTCTAACTATGTTTTAACACCATGTTTTAAGTAGTTACGCAGCATATCATGAAAGAATTAGTTCTTACTCAAAATAAAACAAAATATAAGCTTTAAAATTACTGCTTATCGGAATTTTGAAATAAAAGCAACAACTGTTTGCTCGGAGTTGGATAATGTGTCCAGGTAGAGTAACATATTACTACAGACTTTTAACGTGTGAGCTAGTATCTTAGAAACAACGTTGATCATGTGGGTCTTGTAAAAAACACAGTTTTTGGTGGGGTTAGTTTTATATTTTGTGTTATGTGTACTGCTGTTTGTCTTTTTGTCAATTTATCCTTTTTGTCATGACGTTGACAGTTGTCATCGAATTATGAATTTGAATTTCAATTTGGTATGTTCAACCTGTCTTAAATAATCTAAATTGATAGACCGATGGGTATATTGAAAAGGACCATGGACCGATGGGTATATTGATAAGGACCATGGACCGATAGGTAAATTGAAAAGGACAATAGACCGATGAGTATATTGAATTGTGACGTAATGAATATCAACAGAGATCCTTTTGAAAAGGAATATTGAAAAAAAAACGGTTTTAAAAGGATAAAATATTTCATGATTATAAAAATCATTCAATTATCTTTATAATTTACCTATGATAAAACAATGTTTAAGTATTACTCGTTTTGTTCTGTTTGACAATACAATCTATATTTTGTATCACGGTAGAAAAATGAAGACATGCAGTTTTTTTAAACCATTTTATAAATTTCGAAATTATAAAGTAACTAAGGTTTCAACTCCCCTAGGGGCAAAGATAACCTTAGATGAATTTGGCTATTTCTTATGTACTTTTTGACTATACAGCTCTTCAACTGTTTCCGCATAGATACTGGAACATGCAGAAGCTGAGCGATTATAAATTAAATTTCTTACTGAAAAAAATATGTTTGTTAAAATATTTGTAAGCACATACTTGCAATGCTACACTGATGCTACGCCACTGTCAGACATGATCCTTGGCTTTCAAATATTAGCTTCGACCGCATAAACTTTATAACGTGTTGTTTTCGTTTTTAACAGTTCAGTATAAAATACACTTTATTCATGTATATACTGTATCATGTGAAGGAACAAATGTGTAACATATATGAGTTAATATTTCTATTCATTCTGTCAAAATGTATCTAACAATTTGATTATGTCTATTACATTTATTATCATATTTTGAGTTACAATTTGTAATATAGATATGAACACTCATTTACACTAAATAAACTGTAATCCTATTTACTGTAAATATCAAAGTAACTAGGTTATATTTCTATGCTTTATCACTGATAACCCATAAATATCGATCGTGTTGATTATCAAGAATGTGTAAAACTGTGACGTGTAGTGTAAATACTGCAACACAAGATCTAGTGCAGGGGCTCCCCAAGGGAAAGGCAAACATTAAATTAGAATAAAACTAAAGATTTCCGTCATCTGCATTAAATAAGTTATTAAAATAACTTGCCTATAACTTTAACTTAAATATTTTATGAAGGATAAATACATTTTAGGCTTTTAGGAAAACTTAAGAAAAATGTCTGATTGTAATGTCTAGAAATCAAACATAAAAATTTGCAAATATTATAGGTTAAGTGTTTAAGAGGCATTTTTCCTACTTTTTTGAAAGGTTTGAACATAAAACAACAAAATGAGTGAATTTACTACTAAGCATACTCCTTCGTGTGACGGAAAATACGTGACGAAAAGTTGTTATTTCATTTAACTTATGAAAAGGATTAAAAATTTCTTTTAAAGTATCCACATAAAAAAGGTTTTACGATTAAAAAAAATTCTAGACACTATTCTATGTAAAATCTTAGACAATGAATAAGAAATGGTTTTAATATTCTTGATCTCGTTTCTCTAGCACGAAGACTAATTTCGTGGTGTACTCTAGGATTTTTTTATTCACACAAACAATTCAACAACATGATTCCGCGCGTAATCAATTAGTGTGTTCTGCAGCTAAAAGTTGATTTCTTTGTAACAATAGATTCATGAAGCATTTGTCTTTTCTTGCAGTTGATACACGGCAAAATATGATAACAAAAATATTTGTTTGGCGTAACGGCGTTACGACATCACAAAGCTAAGCTTCAGAAGTTGATTGTTTAACGTCTCAATAGTCACAAGTATGACTTTATTTTCAAAGACCTCTCTTACGTTGGTGACAATGAACACGGAGCACCTGAGATCACCCCCAGGTTTTGGTGGGGTTCGTGTTGCTCAGTCTTTGGTTTTTTATGTTGTGTTTTGTGTACTGTTGTTTGTTTGTTTGTCTTTTTTTTTAGTCAAGGCGTGGTCAGTTTATTTTCGACTTATGAGTTTGAATGTCCCTTTGGTATCCTTCGCCTCTCTTTGAAATTTTGAAAATTTGAATATATTGTCACTACCTTAGTTAAAGCTGGTAAAATAATTAAACAAAAAAACGACAAACTCCCGCCCATATGTTTATGTTATAATTGACCACAAGTTATGAAACATTGAACATGTTGAATGACGATACTTTAAATACAGTACTATACACATTTTTTTAAAACTGCATGTGGACATGTATGTAGAACAACTACATTTTCTCCCTTTGTGTAAATGTCATCTTGACCTTGTCGACAGGTGTTGTAAATAGCTGAACGGTTGTTTTCATATCATGCGTGTCTGTTGGAACCGATACTTTAAAGTGCTGAATAATCTGTTGAAATACAAAATATATGTTTATAATACTATATTAATAGTGTGTAACAGTGACTGCACGGTATCCTAACAGTACTGCAATGACTACAAGAGAAATGAATATCTTTGTAAACTATGTTATAAAAACCTTAAACTATAAATACATGTTGCTTTTCTTGCTTTATATCAAACTGGTTGATTGATTCTCCTGATGGCTTTTCAAAGTAATTCAACCGCTGGGTGGTCTCCTGGTGGCATGCTCGCCTAGAGTAAAAGAGGTCATGGTTCAATCCCCAGTCGGGTCAAACCAGAGACCTAAAAATTGGAACTTACTGCTTCTTTGCTAACCATGAAGAATTTAGGAGTTATGAACTAAGACTTGTCGACTCGGAGGCTGAATAATGTGCACGTGTAGTATGTCAAGTCCATCTGCAAACTTTTAGCTTGCGAATTATCATCCTGAAGGTCTAGTAAAAAAGCAGTGCTAATATCAGATTAACATGACTGTTTTTGTCTTGGTATGAATGTAATAGTTGCCACAGTACGTTAAACACATCATTACATGTATCCCGATCATCAAAGTAAGTAAACTATCAAATTTCAAATGAATTGGATGTCAGCAATTTTAAGCAACCGTAGTCCCTTTAACAATGAGAAAAACCTTTACCGTATAATCGGCTGTAATAGGCCCCGACATGAAAAATATGAAACAATTCAACTGAGAAAACTAACGGCCTAATTCATCACAAAACAATTTCCAAATATGACAGATATAGACCAACGAAAACCACTGAAATACAGACTCTTGTTTTCGGACAGGCACACATGTTTAACGGAACACAAATCTGGTTTAATATGTTTTTTTTATCATTAGATGCCAAAAATATTTAATAAGAACACTCTTAGCTGCACAGAATTTTGTATTTATAACTTGAGAAACGCGTGTCAAAATTTCGACTGAATTCAAGCACTTTTGAAATATGTATATACAATAGGCATTCTAACATAGCTGTTTGATATAAAAGGAACACGTCCGCACATCATGTTGCTGTAGTTCGATTTACCTGTGTAAGCATATTAACTTAAATCGTAATTGATAACTATATACCAAACCAAATGGTATGATACAAATTAAATCAATCCATCAGCGACCATGTTGATAATTAGCAAGTACAAAAGAAGCATTATAAAAAAATAAACCTTAGAATAATGAAGTCTTGTGGCATCACATTGACCTTTAACACAAAAGACTCTTGTCATACGGTCTCTGCGCAGCTATGAGATGACACGTTATGACAAAACCTCAAAGTGTATGGCATCAATATTTGTATCTATGATAAGTTTAAAGTAACAGAGCAGACATGTAAATAGAAAAGACAAATACGATTAAAGTGTACCTTTGTAAGACAAATGAAAATTTCATTCTCAGCAAATCTTTGACCAATGCACGATCTTGGACCAAAACCAAACGGCTTGTGTGCAAATGGAAATTCCTTGCTCTTTGCTAGTTCATCAGTTGTATTCCGCAGCCATCTCTCTGGAAGAAACTCGGTCGGTTGTGAGAAAAAACGATCGTCTGCTGACATAGAGCTCATATTAATGATCATCAGTGTCTGAAAACACGAGGATATACCTTTAGTCTACAACGAATGTGTCGCAACTCACTAGCGACATGTTTTTGCAATCTAACATAAACATGACGAGAAGAGGTTGATTGCCAAGGAAACAACTATCCACCAGAGTTAAAATGAAGTGGTAGTACGCAATTAAAGGCTACCTTATTTCGAGGATTTTTACTGTAGCGACACTTAAATTCCAATGATAATCTTTTGAACGCAATACCCCATCTTCCACCTGGGTATTTTGAATATACAATGAAATATATTTCGTAGCCACAATCCCATGCTCTTTACCTCGATTGTGACATCGCCGATGGCGACTTATCACCTATTTATCATGTGCAACACGACGGGTGCCAAAAGATTAGCAGGAAATACTGCCTACCTAACCGGAGCACTTTGATTCGTTTTACTCGTTGTATTTTCTTTTTCCTTGGACTTCGGGTTTTTAATTTCCCCCATTTGTATTTTTTTTTTCCTTTTTATGTTTAATCTCTTTTTTGAAATAATTGGAAAAATGATAAGCTACGGGTATACATTAATAAGACAGGTGCGAATGACACAAAACGACTTTCAGTGGCCAATATGTATGTATCTGCAAGATTTTTATCAAATAGACACCACAGGATGCTACTTTCAGTAGTTGCAACTGTCAAACATTTAATCGTACGTAAACTAATCTATCAAGCACTTGATGTGATATTAAATATTCACTTACATCCTTAGGAAACCGATATCCTCCAATGACTAAATCAGATTCTATAACACGTGCTAATCCTGCTGAGGTTGGAAAAATCACCCTGTGAACATGATAGAACAGTGTCAAATTTGCATAAAAAATGGAAAAGTTAATACATTAAATCGTAAAATAATTCTTCGTTATAATTTCATACTGCTGTTTTTGAGCTGAGGATGCCATAAAACTGCTTGACACCAAAAGCATATAAAATGTTTCGAACAACAACCGTTGAAAGCGTAAACTCCAACGCATATCAAAATCTCAGAACCAAATCGCGAAAAACAACGAGACGCGAAAATTCCCTGATTCAGGATTTGCACACAACAGACACGAGAAAGTAATAATGGTTAATCACATGTCCCTTACATTGTATTATCTAATCACAGATATTTGATCATTGCATATGGAGAACACTTACACAATAATAGTATATGATATGTAATAAAGGTTAAAGAAGAGACTGAAATTGGTAAATAGAAAGTATTTGGTTATAGAAAAAACGTTGACTCATTCGACTATTTCAATATATGTGAGCTAGAAACTAAAGTAGGACCGTTAATAAGCGATTACCTGTTGCTTTACCGATGTATTAATATAACTGAATTTACTATTGTCAACTTTTACCCCAGTCATAAATGGCCTTAGCCAGATTTTGCACGGTTTTGCTGGTTTTCAGATGCTCTTCAACTTCTTATTGATTTAGCGTTTGAACTGTTTTGGTTTGAGTGTCACCAATGAGTCTTTTGTAAATGAAAGGTGCGTATGGCGTACTAACTTATAAGCATAATATATTAAGGTTTTTTTTTTAAAGTCATTTTGAACGTTTCGTTTTCTATTCGATGTAATTTTTTATAATTTTTGACTCAGACAAATACAATTATTATACCTATGAGATTCCTTTAGACAAGCTTTCATGTACGACATGCTAGCAAGGTGTTCCTTTGTCAATGTTGGGCTATAGCAAACAACTTGTTCTATTTCTTCAAACAGTTTAGCTTGCTTATCCTGGTTGACAGCTAATTGATATAATAAAAACACCAGTGTGTTAGCACTCTGCAATCACAAAAAGAAAAATAACGACAAACTTTCAAATTGTATACTAGTTGACCCTGAGGTTCGGTGGTTGTCGTTGGTTCATATCCGTTATATTTGTTTTTCGTAAATTGTTTTATTATAGATTAGGCCGTTAGTTTTCTCGTTTGAATTGTTTCACATTTTTCATGTCGGGGCCTTTTATAGCCGACTATAGTATACGGTATGGGTTTTTCTCATTGTTGAAGACCGCACGGTTGCCTACAAGTGCTGATATTTACTTCATTTGAACTCTGGTGAATAGTTGTCTCACTGGCAATTATGCCACATCTCTTTATTTTTATAAAGGTGCAAAGTTGACCTTAAATGGATATGGCTATTTTTTTTTTTGTCATATAGCTCAAATATTCCATAGATTTCAATGTTTGGTTTGAGCGTGTTGATGAAGGTAGCATAAATCTAGAAAATCACTTCGAATGCAACAAATTTATAAAATGTTATTTTCATTTTGTCAGAATTTTATTCTTCGCTGTCATATTGATTTAATTTGGAATCAATTGTATCTCCTTATATATTGAATTTCACCTATTCTTGAATGATTTGTTTCACTTTTAAGCATATCAATTCAATTAATTTTTCATTTATCGAACATCCATACTCATGATATTACTCTCCAGTAATGTTGTCAAGAAACGTTGCATCCATAATACAGTAAGACGTTGAAACACTTTTGTTGTCAGTGATTGTTAACTTTAATCTTAACTAGCTCAAATGTTGTTCTCTGTAGAAATAAGTTAATAGTAGGAATAGCATGTTCGTTCTTTCTTCTCACAACGAAATTTTACAGATAAGCATAATTGCAACAAATGAAAAGGATTTCCAACGTTTACCATAAATTCATATATATATATATATATATATATATATATATCGAATACATAAAAAGGATAACAGGAATCACAAAATTTACTTGACAGTAACGAATAGAACATGATCAATATAAATGTAGCCTGACTGCTATATACAAAAAAACTAGTACTACGTGCGCACAATCCCCCCATCCCACCCCCGTTTACCTATCTAGATCATATATTGTAAAACTGAAAAAAACACAATAAAAACCCAACTCTGTACAGCTATCAATAGGATGACCACTAACTTGAACAAAGAAATAGAATAGAGTACATAATTTGAAATGCAGTACCAAAGTGTGCTCGCTCTTTCTACGAAACTTGCTATCAAGTATGAATGAAAATGCATTTTATAAATGTCTATTGTTCAAGCTATTTTAGAAACTCTCAAACCTTAACATCGTGAAGACACGGATGTAAAGATCTGTAAACATACGTAGCCACGTTAAGAGATTTATGAACAAAAGTCTTTAATTTATCAACGGGCAATTTTGTAAAAGGAGGTTATGAACCATGTCAGTACCCATGAACTGACTGCTAAGCTCATTTCAACAGCTGAGGAATCAAAAAAGTGCTAGTAAATGAAAACAACACTTATTAAACTTCGTGCGTCCGAACCACTCTTGTGGACTAATCTTTATCAAAAACTCCATCAAACCTTAACATTTCAAAGTCAGGAATGAACAGATACGGAGACACGTTATGAATCATATGGCCAAAGGGGACCTGAAAATAAAAGTCAAATTCATCTAAGGATAACTTTGCTTTAGAGAGCTGAATTCGTAGTTTCTGAATCGATCAACGGGGAATTGTGGGCCATTAAATCATACGAGTTCCGAAACACTGACTACTGAGCTGATGACATCCTCGGGAACTAACAGTACAGTTTTAATTTGGTAAGTCCTAGGACTTTTGTGTAAAGTGTGTAAATGATTCGACCCAGATTACACATCAATAGCATCGAGAAAACATTTTCGTAATATTTACAATTATCAACACACAAGTTTGTCATTTTTATATTTTCGAAATGTTCTTTTTTCTATTGAACCTAACTAAATGTATTTTGCATAAATGTATCATAGTAAAATCGACAACTTAGAAGTATCTCAAAAGGAAATTGCTAAGGTTGCTCCAATTAAGTTTGGCAGGAAACATTTCCAAAACGTAATTTGAATTTGAAAGTAAGTTATAAATTGTGAGTAGGAGCGAACTAGACAGCATCTTTGGAACGCAAATTTTAGAATCATTATAATGTTTAAGAATTGATCGTAGCAAATTTTGCATGACTCATAGCAGCGCTTTCTTTCTTTTTTATTTTCTAATTGACGAATAAACTGTCATCTCCCTTCATTCATTAGCATGTTTTTGAAAAAATCCCTGTGTGTTTGGTGACCTCTTGGATGTAATTTCCTAACTATCTATACTGATATAAACAGGTTTCTGGTAGTAAGTTCCGTCACATCCAAGCTGGGGAACTGAGTAGGCAAAAGCTCAAATTAAATCTGTTCCATTACAATGTGCTACATTTTCTCTTTTACACTATAACTCATGGTGATGCTCCTAATGAAAGGAGGCTTTAACGAAGCATATATAAATACATGCACTGTTACTTTTAAATACATTGTAAATGTCATTTATATGTGTCGCTATCTAAACATTTCTAATCATATTCAACAAATGATATTGTCAGGGCTCACATTCATTTAGTTGTTGTGTGTGGGTTGATAGATCAAAATTGATGAAATGTATCAAAAAGATCTTTAATATATTAACCTTAAAATATATGAGACATCTCTCCACCAGAGACCAAATCACGTAGAAGTTAACAATTACAAGTCACCGTAAGGCCTTCAACAATAAACAAAACCAATACACCATAATAAGCTATAAAAGGCCCCAAAATGACAAAAGTAAAAAATTCATACAAGAAAACTACCGGCTTGATTTATGTACAAAACAAAATACGAAAAACAAATATGTTATACAGCGACAAACGACAACTACTGAATTACAGTCTACCGACTTGGAGCATGTACATACAAAAATATCTTTTCTGGTGAAAATCCTTTCCCCGAACCTCGGACAATGGTGTAACAGTACATCCTAGGAATAAACTATAAAAATCCTTTCCAAAGAGCTTAAATCATCAGATCGATACAAAGCACAAAACAACTAACAAAAACACCAAAAATTTAAAGTACAGATCTGAGAATAATCGCATTTACTGAAAGGTAGTTCAAAGCCAATAACAACTTGAAAAAAATCTTGTATCTAAGACTTAAATATCAACCACTACACATCCAGTGTACAATGGATTAAGCGTAAAAACGTCATTAACAATCGGGGGAAAACATGATGGCCTTGTGCAAAGCCAAAATATAGGTATCGATAGATTATAGGACTGTGAATGTTTACGTTTCATCTATGATATGTAAATAAGAAATAGACAACTACCATTATTGTGATTATAACGTCAGATTTTTTAAAGACAATAACATTAACGGTACCAATGTCTCTGCACCAAATTTGCATTTCGACAATAAAAGTCTCTTCAGTGGTGCTCGAGGTCAAGATATTTAAAAATCCAAACCTTATGTCTTTCTATGTTGTGATGTTACACTATTGTTTCAGATAAGGGTGAAGGTTTGGTATCATTAAAACGTTTAAACCCGCTGCAATTGTTTGCACCTGTGCTAAGTCAGGAATCTGATGTTCAGTAGCTGTCGTTTGTTGATGTCGTTCATAAGTGTTTCTCGTTTCTCGTTTTTTATATAGATTAGACCGTTGGTTTTCCCGTTTGAATGGTTCTACACTAGTCATTTTTGGGGCCTATTATAGCTTGCTGTTCGGTGTGAGCCAAGGCTCCGTGTTGAAGGCCGTACTTTGACCTATAATGGTTTTCTTTTATAAATTGTGACTTGGATGAAGAGTTGTCACATTGGCACTCATACCACATCTTCTTTTATCTACTTACTGAACAAAATGAAGAGCTGATAAACCACAAATGCCCAAAACTATTATAGCCTAAGCCGGGCAAGGAATCACAGATTGCACGGAGGTGATATATTCCTTAATTCAAATAATTTCCATAATTATTTTGTAACAGCATATTTTTAATAACACAATATCCGTATTTGTTTGCCTCGGGGCTGGTGATACCCTCTGGGAATAACAGGCCACAAGCAGAGGTATAGACCCAGTGGTGATAATAAAATTAACGGTATCATTTTTTCTGCAAAACATCTTTGACATCTTTGATGATGTTGCTTCGCCATTGAATCATAAAAAATCGGTATTTTTTCAGGTCACACGGTTCATATGATCATATTGCCGAGAGGTAAACGAAAGGACATTCTCAATATAATTATTTTGAGGTATGCCCACGCTCTATCAAAATTTTGCTAAATTGTTTATTATTTTCTTGAATGTTGGAATCACTCAAATATTACATAATCATTCTAGTTGATAATCATGTGTCCGTTTATTGCCGAGGAAATCCGAATTTTAACAAAATAGTTAAATAAGTTTTGCATTCACATCCTGGTCTAACTTACCGAGTCAATACCAGCACCAAATAGGTCCATAACAATACTATTTACTTGATCATCTGTTACTCTACTATCAGAAAGTAAAGAGTACATAAAGTTCGGTTCTTTTTCCAGATATTCATCCAGTTTACCTTCATGTTGTAATTTTGTCAGAAAATCTTTCTGTAATGCTAGTTCCGCATTAACTATGCTGTAAAAATATGCTAATATTTATCATTGATAACATTATCTACTCTGTGATGCATTTTTGTATCTAAATATATAGATATATATATAGCAGACAAAATAGCTGATCTGAAAGGTACACCACCTACTTGCCACTATACATCACATACTGTGTTACAACCCTAGATAAAGCCGACGAGGAAAGGCATTACATCGACCACCGAAAGCTATATTTTTTATGTAGCCTAGATGATCGAGAGGTCTAGGGCGCTGTACACGGTGCAGACAGTGTTGCCATGATGTCACAGAAGCAAGGGTTCGAATAACGCAAATTTGAAGATCTAACATTGTTGGGCTAAATTTGAGACGAATTATATACATATATATAATATATATAAGTCTAAATTGAAAACAACGTTCAAATAAAGGCAACAGTAGTATACCGCTGTTCGAAACTCATAAATCGATAGAGATAAAAACAATTCCGGGCTACAAACTCAAACTGAGGGAAACGCATCAAATATAAAAGGAGAACAACGACACAACAAAAACACAACATTAAAATGTAACACACACAGAAACGAACTATAATATAACAATGGCCATTTTCCTGACTTGGTACAGGACATTTTAAGAAAAAAATGGTGGGTTGAACCTGGTTTTGTGGCATGCCAAACCTCCCGCTTTTATGGCAACGTCAAACACAACACCAACACGACAACATCACATGACAGGACCACAATACAAATAAATGGGAGAACATATAGGACAAAGATACACACGAATAATAGCTAACAAAAGGTTTCTAGGCTTAAAATTCAATACGCCAGATTGTCAAACCTATGATTGCGTTGGATAAAAACCGCAATTTTTATACGTGTGCATGAAAAACGAATTTCTTGGTAGAGGGGTCTAAATACAGCACAAACAACATTTTCCAAAAGACCAATATAGTGAAAAAGTATATTTTAACAAAACGCATTTGATTAACAGGTCAAAATTTAAAAAAGTAAAAATTCTTTAATATTTTAACCTATCTTTACTTATCTTATGTGTTCTTTCTTTTTTCTAAAAGATATTACAAAAACAATAGTATATATATATGGAACGCCACAACTGTCTTATGTGGAACTCTGATATTACTTTATGTTGTTTTATTATTACTTGATGATATTTTGTCTTTACTTAATATGGTTTTGACATTACGTAATGATGTTTTGATATAACTCAATATGGAATAGTCATTACTTAATGATATTTCGATATTACACGATATGGTTTCGTATTGACTTGATATAGTTTTGTCATTACTCAATATGGTTTTGTCATTACTCGATGTGGTTTCACCATTATTTAATGTGGTTGTGTCATTAGTCAATGTGGTTTTAACATTACTTGATGTGAATGTGACTTAACGTTATGTAGTTGTTTCATTACATGATGTAGTTTTGTCATTTTGTAATGATGATTTGCCTATTTTTTATATGGTTTTAACATTACGTAATGATGTTTCAAAATTTGACGATTTTACCCTACATGATGTGTTTGTTTCATTATTTGATGTGGTCCTGTCATTCTTTGATGTGGTTATCCCATTACTTGATGAGGTAAAATCACGTGACTAATTCGGAAAAACCTGTTCTATTTTTAGATAGATTTCCATGTTGTATGTGCTTTGGATGAGTGTGGCCATCCATTGAATTAGAGTTCAAATTAAAGTTCGGGTTACTGTTTGAGTTATACTTTGAGTTAGTCTTCGATTTAGAATTCAAGTCATTATTAGAATTAAAGTTTTAGTTAGCATTGAGTTTCGAGTTGAACTTCGAGTTTGAGTCACATTTAAAGATAGAGTTCTAGTTACAACATTAAATTTGAGTCACTTTTTGAGTTTGAGTAAGATTCGAATTTAAGTCTCATTCAGATTAATTAAGATTTTGAGTTGAAATTCGAGCTATCTTATATGAGTTCGTAATTAAATTTTCTATCGCGGAACAAGGACTTTTGCTCGGGTGTCCGAAAAGAGGGCTCCTGGGTATGCGTACAAAAGATAAACAATGTTATAGTATACAAAACGCAACATAGAAGTTGAAATAAAGTTAGATGTGGTGATTGACAATGAGACAACTATCCACCAGTGTTTAAATGCAGTGGGTGTAAGAAATCATATATAGGCAACCGTACAGCCTTCAACACACCGTATAGTCAGCTACAAAAGGCCACCATGCACCATGTGAAAAAATTCAAACGACAAAACAAACGGTCTTATTTATATTTAAACAATCTACAAAAAAAATGACGTTCATTTATACAACAACAACAATTGAACTTCATGCTCCTGTCTTGGGGCAGGTACATAAAGAAAGTGCACGTGGTGGAGTTTAACATGTATGTGAGCGCTAAATTCTAACCTTACATCGGACTGTTACAGTTGTGTAACAGCAAAAAACGAGAAACAAATGTAAACTAGACAAAGTGATGCCCCCGCACTCAACTCATTTAAATTAACCGCTTATATCCCAAAAATGACAAAAAAAACTTCAATTATCTCCCAAAAGAGCAAAAGATCATAAAAATAAAAATCCTGACCACATGCACACCTTCAATAATTGTACAAACAGCCAGCAGAGTGAAAACTTCCTAGGATTCAAACTGTAGGAGGAGTTATGCGGAATAACTATATATCCATAATGGGACGGACAGACGGACGGACGGACAGGGATAAAACAATATGCCCCCAACTTTCAGTTGCGGTGGCATACAAAACAGTTTCATTTGGTTGACTCAATAGATCGGTATGACTGGGTAATATAAATCCATCGGGGTGATCTCGGATGCTCCAGAAAGGCACCCGTCGTGTTATTCAAGGAAGTACAAATCCAGTGATTTGGTTTTATTTGGTAGTTCACATTCAAGGAAAAGATAACGGTATTATGGTTACGACCACTGGAACATGTCCGTCGTCACATGTGAAACAGATATTCCAAAAAGTTTATTTTTCAATTAGTGCGAGGTAGATCAGGGAATTCAATTGATTACAAATAAAAGATTGATATTCATATAAGTTCGCTAAAACAAAATTCGGAAAATTCTTATTTTATAGTATTTATGCTTTGTCGCTAAGTCCGAGCCCCCCCCACCCACCCCCTCCCCCCGTTTCCCTGTAACTTTAGTGTGAGTTGATTTGAAGTGTTTCATTTGTTAACAATAAAGTTCAAGTCTTTTGATTTGTGTCGAGCCTGCGACATCAATGTAGCGGCAGTGAGACACAACAAACCTATATTTCGTCGTCGATAGTGGCGTCGGCGTCGGCGTCTCCATTTTTTTTTCTATTGATTTTAACCTTTCATTATACATGTTACTAAACATGTATGCCATCATAATTTTGTACTTTTAGAATATCATACTGTATTTGTTTACCTCAACTATTGTATCTGTATTTATATTGTATGTTTCTCTGTAAACTTGTAATTAGTTTTTAGTTTTTAGTTTTTAGAGAATAAAGTATCTATCTATCTATCTATCTATAGATCGTTAGGTTTCTAGTTTTTTACATTTTTCATTTCGGGACCTTTTATAGCTTACTATATGGTATAAGTTTTGCTTATTGTTGAAAACCGTACAGTTTTGTTTTAGTTAAATAAAACCGAATTAAACTGTTTTGACATGATAAATTTGTAAACCCCCATGAAGTGTTTTAAAACTTGCATAGGAGTTATTCCTCAATTTCAAGAAAAAGCATCTACAGAAAAACATTTTTTTTATTTTGTTTTTACCGATAAATGTATAGATAAGTGTACAGCCGATCGACATGATACTTTTACACTTACAGCAGCAATATCAGGCGAGACACAGGGTTCCGTGGAATATTTTAAAAATTTATTACAAAAATACTGCTTCCGTTTGTAAACTTAGAATAAAAACAACAAGACCAAGTGGTTTGGGGATATCCCAATTATGTACGAAATACTGTAACCTTTTCATACTTTTTGTCTTATTATTGTCTACCGTTCCCCTTTTTCATACCAAATAACTCTGAACAAACACTCGAACTTTAATTTGAACTTTAACTCAATGGATAGCGATTCCTATCGACAGCACATTAAACAAATGATAAATTGAAATCTGTTTAAAAATAGAACATATTTTTTTCCGAATTGGTCACGTGATTTTACCTCATCAAGTAATGGGATAACCACATCAAAGAATGACAGGACCACATCAAATAATGAAACAAACACATCATGTAGTGTAAAATCGTCAAATTTTGAAAAATCATTACGTAATGTTAAAACCATATAAAGAATAGGCAAATCATCATTACAAAATAACAAAACCACATCATGTAATGAAACAACTACATAACGTTAAGTCACATTCGCATCAAGTAATTTTAAAACCACATTGACTAATGACACAACCACATTAAATAATGGTGAAACCACATCGAGTAATGACAAAACCATATTGAGTAATGACAAAACTATATCAAGTCAATACGAAACCCATATCGTGTAATATCGAAATATCATTAAGTAATGACTATTCCATATTGAGTTATATCAAAACATCATTACGTAATGTCAAAACCATATTAAGTAAAGACAAAATATCATCAAGTAATAATAAAACAACATAAAGTAATATCAGAGTTCCACATAAGACAGCTGTGGCGGTCCATATCTATATGATGCCCCTCTATTCATATTTTCCACGCGGAAAACAAAGATAGAGGGGAATCAAATATAAATAATTCACATTAAATAGATAAACATGGGTTAAAATATAAAAGAATATTTACTTTGAAAAAAAGTTAAAACACAAGATAAAAAAGATTCAGAAAAGGGGGTCCAGGATTCTCCAAGCGCCTGTGATCCGTAATGAAATAATTTATTAACTCCGTATTTATTTGAAATATGCATGAGATATGCCTTTGAATTCTGTAAAATATAAAACCGTGACACTTCGGATTAAACTCACTCAATATAAATGGGGAATGTGTCCATAAGACACAGATGGTGCCCCCGCTTGCATATAACGTTATAAAGAGACATAATTCAAGAACAGTAAAAGTGACGCTACCCAAATTCGTACTTGCTCTGAGTTTTGTGGTAATAAGCATTGTGTATAAGTTTTATACCATTTGGTTGAGGCAAACTGAAGTTAGAGAACGGAAACGAAAAATTCAGCAATTTTTCCATTTGTAAAGGGACATAACCCAAGAAAGGTTAAAGTGACGCCACCCAAATTTATACCTGATCTGTGTTTTGTGATGATAAGCATTGTGTATAAGATTCATAACATTCGGTTGAGGCAAACTTAAGTTAGAGAACGGTAACCAATTTCAGGACATACGGACGTACGGATGTACGGACAGACGGCAAACCTTAATGTCCCCACTGCTACGGCGGGGGCATAAACATATAATAAGGGTTACCGATTATTTTTTATTAGTTTTCACTATTTTCAATTATTTTAACAATTATTATATCGAACGTTGTTACATTTTTGAGTTTCTGTTTTTGTTTCATAAAGTTTGAATGTACAATTATTAGATAAATATTATTTATCATCTTTATAATAGTAATAATAATATTTCTAATTTTAATCTTATAATTAATTACTACTGGTGAAATTCGATGCATTCTTAAACATTTAAATATTTAAAATCATATTTTTCTTTACGCTAACACGTATGACAGTGGTTAGGACGTTCTAGCTAAGATAGTCCAAGATAGATTCGATGTGCATGCCGAGACATGTCGTAAGCCGGTCCTAACATTATTCTAACTTATTCCTAAGATAGGTCTTGGGACAAATCCTAGGACAGCTTCGATAAACAGGCTCCTTGTATCTTTGATGAGTTTTTATTATATTATTTAAATGCATGGAATATATACTATAACAAGCATTTTGTGAGTACTGCATGGTAATACATAGTCCCCTACCGGTTAAAAATCATTGTATTGGAACAAAATTCTTACTTCATCTATAACTTGTCATGGTGTAAACTATATAACAAGTATCAAGTCAATATCTTCAAGCATGACGAAAAAAAGTGTTGAAAACTGATTATTTAAGTGAATTTTCTAAGTCCAAGGACCATAACTCTGTACAAAATCATCAGACCGGAACAAAATTCGTACTTGATCTGTAACTGTTCATGATAAAACAATAAACCAAATATCAAATTAATATCTTCAAGCAAAAAATGGAAAACTGATTTGCTGGACTGACGGATGGACAGACAGACAGACAGACAGACGGACGGAGTGCAAACCTAAAGTCCCCTTCGACTTCGTCGGTAGGGGACTAATAAAACAAGAATATATACTATAATAAAACAGGAATATATACTATAATAAAACAGGAATATATACTATAATAAAACTGGAATATATACTATAATAAAACACTTACTCGCCAAATTTTAACATTTCTTCCTCGAATCGTTTATAAAATGGTGTTCTAAAATACAAGTAAGATTTAAATGGCATAAACATTGCTTCTTGGAACATATCCAGTACATTTCTGATAATTGATGCAACAACAGCAGGATTGTTCTTATCGGTATCTAAGCAGCCTAGTCTTTTGTTAAGAGTCAACATCCCTACACCTAAAAAATATCAATTAAAATTATTACTCGAAGAATTGTTTGTCTTTTGGTTGTATTTCCTTTTAACCAAAGGCATTCAATTTTGTCAGTTTGTTTTCGACTTACTAGTTTGAATATCACTTTTGTATCTTTCGTCTCTCTTTTATTTACTGAAAATAATTTGACTTTCTACAACCACAACACAAAAACCTAAAAAGTTCACATAGTTATTACTTACCTTTAAAAAAACAGAAAACCTAAACAACAACACAATACTATATCCATATTACTTACTTTCAGTTGTGTAGTTAAGAAGTTCCCACAGAAGATCATTAACTTCTGTTTTCTTCCGTAACACATTTATGAAATCGTCTGTTACCGATTCAATCAAGGGGACATAACTGGCGACAACGGCGGGACGTAACATTTTCTCCTGTGCTGGTTTTCTTCGTTCTGCCCATTCTTGTCCATTTCTATGAAATGATAAGGAAACATTTAGACTTATTCTTTGTTCCTAAGGCACAAATAATGTAATACTATGTGCATTCAGGACGTAAAAACTAAATCAGCATCAAAGGGCAACCGTTTTTTTTTTCTGAGTGGACCAGGAGGAGTTGAGAAATGAATATGCTGGCCAAGTAAAAACCGAAAACGATTATGCTTATCTAAGAAAAAAATTAAGTTTCTGTAACACAGAATGCAACAATTTGCGAAAATTCAGGAATAAAATAAGCCAGTTTAGAAACAGATGATATGAATATTCTGACCACGTAAAAAAGACATTTTAGGAAAGATGTCACCATACAGCTGTGATCCAGGTCCAATAAAGGGTATATCAACCTCTAAATCAGTCGAGATAATGAATCAATGCAAGAAAGGCGAAACAATATAGCTTTCGATAACTTATTTTATTTCGTTTTATTTGTCCCTTCTTTGGTTAAGAGGTTTCCGAAAATGAATTACGTTGTACTTTAAAATATTGGTTTGAGTTCATTTATAGGTAAAATAAAAACATAAGAAGGAACTACGCTTTTGACAGACGAACTACATTCTGATGTTATTTTAATCGTCACTATTTCGCTCAATCAATCAACTTTGTTTTAAACCATCTCGATTGCACAAGTGGAGCGTGCTTACATAGAGTGCAGGTGGTCGCGGGTCAGGCCAAAGACTTAAAATTGCTATTTGCTGCTTCTCCGCTACGCACAGGATATTTAGGAGAAACACCAAGGACTAAAGATTTCGGATTCAGAACAATGTGTCCGTAGGTAGTGACCTTGTGAACAAGCACTTTAAAAACTGGTTCAGCGTGTCTGTCTTGCAACAAACAGGTTTCATATGCATATCATATTAACTTGTTCTCTACTTGATATGCGTGTAATATTTGCCACTGACTGTTATACACCAATCACTCATTATCATCATCACCATCATCACCAATAACCGGATCAAATAAAATTTAGAAACACACGAAACAAAAGTTCTTTCGTCCATTTCATTGGTAAAATATCGACGTAGTTGATCAGTGTCGTATATACTATGGAGAGAATTGCTGCAACCGTTTCTGTTTCAATTTTTAGACATTGATCCGCTGGTTCATGTATTCAGCGTTTGTGTAGGTACCACAAAAATAATACGGCTTTCACAAAAGATAGGAAACACTGCCTATACATGCATCTTAACATTGACGTCATACTTACAGTAAAACCATTCCCCTTGTGGTTTTAGTTCTGTCGTGAAAAATGGTGCTGATGTCAAAATCGATCTTTTTATGCTGCTCATAATGTGCTTGAAGAACTGTTTTAGCATAGTCTGGATGACTAACGATCACCATGTTATTTGGTCCAAATTTTATCTTATATATATCCCCGTATTTTTGTTTGAAGTTGTCAAGTACGATATTGACATCACCTGGTTGATATTTACCTATAAAAGATTACAAATTATTTGTTTATGAAGCGAATCATATTTTTTAATGGTTTAATTCATTAAAATAAAATCTTCGCGGTTAGGGCACGATGATGTTGCTTTAGCAGATAAAAAATGGAAATCATATGTTTCTGTTCTTCATATGACCCCTACTATCATGCATTTATAAAGCACTTTTGTTAACTTCTTAATCAACTTCGATACAAATTCGACAAGCATTTATGGAAGACAAAAACTTCACATAACATATTTCCCTATGTTCTCATTGATATTTAGCAGATTTTGACGCGTACCAACTTTGACACATCAGAGGGTTTGACCACTGGCAAGTAACGAGTATCATATCGACGCCTTTCGCTTTCCTTTCTGGTACACCAAACTTTAATTTCGGTTGTATTTGTAATTGTCCTGTCTTTAGTTTGATGGTTTTGCTGTTCTTGTTTTATTGGTTGTCTGACACTTGTCTCGTTTAATTTTACTCATGTTTTGTTCTCTGGACTTTGTTACGATCTCTTCTCCAAATTGCTTGTACCATACATTTTAATATAGCTAGTCAAATAAGTTCACCTCCAACATGAACATGGCAACCAAGGGTAATAACTTCAATTCAAATTACGTCGTATTCTATCTCTTTTTCAATACATTTTTTTAACCCATGTGTAAAGATATTACACTGCAGCAGTATACTTACTAAAAGGTTTAAAATGCAATGCCACGCCAAGGTAAGGTATATTGTAAAGTCCTCGAGGTCCAGGGACTTGATTGAATGGTTTAACATCCGGTGATAGCGGTGGTTCGTTTCTGGCATCTGCAATGGTTGTGGAAGTACGACATGAACAGCACTGTACTTTAAATCCCTTTACGTACTTTGAACTTGGCTGAAGGATTCGGAGCATATTGATCATATCTGTAATTATATTAGTTACATTCTATTTGAAAAAGAGAATTTTTATCTTATTTTATTTTTTCGATGTCATCATCATCGTCATCGTCATTTGCGTCGCAGTCATCGTCATCATCATTATCATTATTATCATCATCATCATCATCGTCGGCGTCATCGTCGTCGTCGTCGTCATCATCATCATCATCATCATCATCATCATCATCATCATCATCATCATCATCATCATCATCATCATCATCATCATCATCATCATGACCAAAAGATTGAAACAAACATTATATTGTAACAAATTGCATTGGTGATGGCATCAAATAACACTACAAAAACAAATAGTGGAAAAATCCTCACATATGAACACTTGTTTTACATTAAGTTGTACAACTCTTGTTATTAAATACGTTAACAAGTAATGGGGAAACATTATTACACAGTTGATTACCAAAACGAAACCAATAGACTGGGGAAATATCCCCACAATGATGATAATCAAAAAAAAAATCAATAGATTAGGGAAATATCCCCACAATGATGATAACCACAAAGAAATCAGTAGATTGGGGAAATATCCCCACAATGATGATACACATGTAACCACAAAGAAATCAGTAGATTGGGGAAATATCCCCACAATAATGATAACCACAAAGAAATCAGTAGACTGAGGAAATATCCCCACAATGATGATAACCACAAAGAAATCAGTAGACTGGGTAAATATCCCCACAATGATGATAACCACAAAGAAATCAGTAGACTGGGGAAATATCCCTACAATGATGATAACCATAAAGAAATCAGTAGACTGGGGAAATATTCCGACAATGATGATACACATGTAACCACAAAGAAATCAGTAGATTGGGGAAATATCCCCACAATAATGATAACCACAAAGAAATCAGTAGACTGGGGAAATATCCCCACAATGATGATAACTACAAAAAAATCAGTAAAATCAGTAGACTGGGGAAATATCCCCACAGTGATGATAACCACAAAGAAATCAGTAGACTTGGGAAATATCCCGACAATGATGATAACCATAAAGAAATCAGTTGACTGGGGAAATATCCCCACAATGAAGTTAACCATAAAGAAATCAATAGATTGGGGAAATATCCCGACAATGATGATAACCACAAAGAAATCAGTAGATTGGGAAAATATCCCCACAATAACGATAAGCACAAAGAAATCAGTAGACTGGGGAAATATCCCCACAATGATGTTAACCACAAAGAAATCAGTAGACTGGGAAAATATCCCCACAATGATGATAACCACAAAGAAATCAATGGATTGTGGAAATATCCCCACAATGATGATAACCACAAAGAAATCAATAGATTGGGGAAATATCCACACAATGATGATAACCACAAAGAAATCAATAGATTGGGGAAATATCCACACAATGATGATAACCACAAAGAAATGAATAGATTGAAAAAATATCCCCACAATGATGATAACCACAAAGAAATCAATAGATTGGGAAAATATCCCCACAATGATGATAACCACAAAGAAATCAATAGATTGGGGAAATATCCACACAATGATGATAACCACAAAGAAATCAATAGATTGGGGAAATATCCACACAATGATGATAACCACAAAGAAATGAATAGATTGAAAAAATATCCCCACAATGATGATAACCACAAAGAAATCAATAGATTGGGAAAATATCCCCACAATGATGATAACCACAAAGAAATCAATAGATTGGGGAAATATCCACACAATTATGATAACCACAAAGAAATCAATAGATTGGGGAAATATCCACACAATGATGATAACCACAAAGAAATCAATAGATTGGGAAAATATCCCAACAATGATGATAACCCCAAAGAAATCAATAGATTGGGGAAATATACACACAATGATGATAACCACAAAGAAATCAGTAGACTGGGGAAATATCCCCACAATGATGATAACCACAAAGAAATCAGTAGACTGGAGAAATCTCTCCACAATGATGATAACCATAAAGAAATCAGTAGACTGGGGAAATATCCCGACAATGATGATAACCATAAAGAAATCAATAGATTGGGGAAATATCCCGACAATGATGATACACATGTAACCACAAAGAAATCAGTAGATATGGGAAATATCCCGACAATGATGATACACATGTAACCACAAAGAAATCAGTAGATATGGGAAATATCCCGACAATGATGATACACATGTAACCACAAAGAAATCAGTAGATTGGAAAAATATCCCCACAATAATGATAACCACAAAGAAATTAGTAGACTGGGGAAATATCCCCACAATGATGATAACCACAAAGAAATCAGTAGACTGGGGAAATATCCCCACAATGATGATAACCACAAAGAAATCAGTAGACTGGGGAATTATCCCCACAATGATGATAACCACAAAGAAATCAGTAGACTGGGGAAATATCCCCACAATGATGATAACCACAAAGAAATCAATAGATTTAGAAAATATCCCCACAATGATGTCAAAGAAATCAGTAGACTGGGGAAATATCCCCACAATGATGATAACCACAAAGAAATCAATAGATTGGGAAAATATCCCCACAATGATGATAACCACAAAGAAATCAATAGATTGGGGAAATATCCACACAGTGATGATAACCATAAAGAAATCAATAGATTGGGGAAATACCCCCACAATGATGATAACCATAAAGAAATCAATAGATTGGGGAAATATCCCCACAGTGATGATAACCATAAAGAAATCTATAGATTGGGGAAATATCCCCACAGTGATGATAACCATAAAGAAATCTATAGATTGGGGAAATATCCCCACAGTGATGATAACCATAAAGAAATCTATAGATTGGGGAAATATCCCCACAGTGATGATAACCATAAAGAAATCTACAGATTGGAGACATTTCCCTTCAAAAATGATAACCAAAAAGAAATAGGTAAACCTGGTTAATATCCCCACAAAGGTGATAACAATAAAGAAGTTCATAGACTGGAAGAAACCTCCACTACATAATGATTACATATACCATTGACACACACAAATAGGAAATATGTGGGGAAACATTTGAAACGGCCGTTAACATCATTGGCCTTTCGTCGGATTGTTGTCTCATTGTCGAACACTTGTATTTTTTTTCATATTAGACCTGGTTTATATTTTTTCACGTTATAAATTTAAAGCAAATGCATTGGAAAGTGCTATTGAAAGGTGTAAATAATAATACAATGTATTTGTCAACATATATATATATATATCAATAAGTTTTGAGAGGAATATATAGTAGTTTATTTTAGAGAAAATCCTCGGTATTATAAATGATAACGATATGTTATTTAGGGGTTCCATGTTCTATACAAGGTGGTTCAGTGGTTCGGTGATCAAGTTTGGAAGAAAAATACTTCTCTACAAATGGTGCTCCAAATGAAAAACAGATGATAATCAAAAGCTTAGCGAGTGCTTGATGTCGGAAAACACCATTTATGCATTCAAACGAAATCAAAATAATTGGTGTAGTACAGAGGTGCTCCAATTGAACTAATAGATACATGTCCACCCTTCATCAGCAATACCTCTCCTACAGTTTAGACTGGTAGAGCAGTAGCTTACATTGTAACGTCATAGTGGTCCCCGCTTCGATCCCGATGGCAAAGTGGTTACTACTGAAGAACAATCACGCTCTACTTAAATAATCTTTGAATTTATTTTCTTTTCAAATCAAGCATGGAAAATCCAGTATTAAATTGGTTACAAAGAAATTTTGGATAAAAGGTGCGGCTGGACGAATGAACAATACCGTTTTACTAGGCGGGAAGTAATAATTTAATATTTACCTCAAATAACTAAAACGGGAGTTATTTATAGAACATCATACCTATTATCTGTGTTTATTCAATCAAGAATGATGTACGATGATGATCGATGATCTTAATTTCTAAATTATTTTGATTTAATATAATAACAACACCATGCATTGACAACAATAACACACGTCTATTGTATAAGTACATGTATAACCAATATACTATATGTATAAAATTATACTTACTTAATAAAATTGCTATCATAAAATTATGTTTACTTCGAGGTTTAGTTCCGGTTTACCCACATTTTTTTACTTTTTTTCGCGGGATTTTATGAAGCTGTCTTATTGAATGTATAAAAAAACAAATTCGTGAAGGTAGTTTTTTTACGACTTTATTCTGTTCTCACCAAGACGGAAAAACAACTTTAGTCTGTCCATAATGTGTATCAAAAATGAAGAAAGTAATTTGATTATTTTTTAATTTTACTGAGAAGTTGGTAAACAAATTAGATATAATTACAAATTGGAAAGACATGACATCCTAATTATCTACAATTAACATATAAAAAAGCTAAGAAAATGGATATGAATTAAATTTTGAATTTAATTGTTTTTAACAGCAATTATAATAACGTCTGAGTTTTTACATGTCGTATCAATGATTCTTAAAGTCTCAAATAACACCAAGCATAGAAATGATGTTCAGGCTTACGTCTACGATTGTATTCTTTCGTATCTATTTTTCCTTAACTTACACTGCGTCAATTTCAGAAAAGATTTATATAGTATGTCTAATGCCGAATATATTGGTTACTTGTATTTGAAAAAAAAGTCCAAAAATTAGGTTGTAGCAGGTGTTATTATAAGTTTGTACACTTGTTGTTATTTTAAGTTTGTAAACTTCTCCTTTTAATATTTCTATCAGCACTCCAAATTAGGAGCCTGCAATGCGGTGGTTGTCATTTGTTGCTGTTTATCAAAATTGTTTTTCGTTTGTTGTTTTGTACATTAAATCAGGCCGTCGGTTTTCTCGTTTGTTGTTTTGTACATAAATCAGGCTATCGGTTTTCTCGTTTGAATTATTTAACATTATGTCATGTCGAGATCTTTTACAGCTTGCTGTGCGCCATGGGTATTGCTCAATTTTGAAGGCCATATTATGATCTATAATAGTTAATAACATCTACGTCATTTGTTCTAGGGTATACATTTGTCTCGTTGGTAATCCCTTCTACCACATCTCCTTATTTTATATAGACAGACCATACCCACTTTTGTACTTGTTTGCTGTTGATTTGTCGTATTTTAACTGTTTTTATTTCATTTTCATCCTTCAGTCAGACATTTTACAAACAGAGTCGTAAAAAAGATTTTATTGGATTCGTGATGTTCCTGTTTCTACAAGAAATAAATGGTAATATACAGTTTACGTCATTGTGCATAATATTATAGGTGTCCTCTTCACGGTCCGCGTTCAGGCATACGGGCATTTATTAGTGTTTAATTGAATTTACAAATGACAAAAGAATTTGACAAAAGTTATGCCAACTTAAATAAAACATAAAACAGACGGAAATTAATATATATATTTTTTTTTCATTTTCTTAGCCATGTTTGACATTAATACATTTATATATTGGTCCCCGGCAGGCCGAGTCGAAATATTGTGTTTTTTTTTATTGTAATGTCTAAAAATGTAAAAGATTTTATTTCAATAAAAAAAGGACAGTCATACGTTTTTTACACATTTACAAAAAAAACCTCGACAGTATGGTTGAAATGGACAATAGCATCTGATAACCTTGATATTGATTGATTGATTGATTGATTAGTGTTTAACGCCACTTTCAGCACTTTGTGCTATTTCGTGGCGGTCAGTTTTTAATGGTGGAGGAAGCCGGAGTATCCGGAGAAAACCACCGACATTCGGTAGAAAAACAGACAATCCTAGTCAATACCTTGGTATTGAATAGTTTTTCATTCGAAGTAATCTAGAGCTTGACATATTGTGTAGACTCCTGTCTATAATTGTTGCAGTATGTGTGCCTGTCAATGGATTTTTGGAGAGATGTGGTATGATTGCCAATGGGACAACTATCCATCCAAGTTAAAAAAAACAGGCAACCGTACGGCCTTCAACATTGAGAAAAACCCATACCGTATAGTCGGCTATAAAAGGCGCCGACAGGAAAAAATATGAAACAATTCAATTGAGAAAACTTACGGCCTAATTTATAACAAAACAATTTACGAAAAACAAATATGACAAGTATGAACCAACGAAAACCACTGAACTACAGGATCCTGTCTTGGGACAGGCACATACAGAATGTGGCGGGGTTAAGTATGTTTGTGAGCGCTCAACCCTCCCCCTAACCTGGGACAGTGATGTAACAGCACAACATAAGAACAAACTATAAAAATCAGTTGAAAAAGGCTTAACTCATCAGATCGATACAAAGCAAAAAAACATCAAACAAAAACACAGACCGGACGTGGCAGGGTATTTATTGTTTGTTTCGTTAGGTTGTATCTTATTTGCATATACTCCCCCATCTCATTTTGTTCATATGTATTTGTCGGTGCATATTAATTGAGATGTTATGCCTTGATGTTGCATTTCATCGAATAATCAATTATTCAGCAGGCGCGTAGCTACGTTAACGTCAAAACGCCCGGGCGTACACATAAATTTTAGAGAAAAAATATTTAATCTAAATAAAATAAAAGATCTGGTTAAATGCCTTTTAATTCTTTCCTCTATGACTTGTAATTGAAGAAAGAAGTGACGAAATTTACTTTTAATCAAATGGTATCATATTATTTATACATTTGTTCATTTTCTGTCAAAGTGTGAATATCGAGCATGTGACCTTTATGTCGCAAAAGCGACACATACCGATCTTAGATTCCGTCGGCGTCGTCAACACTTAGGTTTGGTGTGTGCATGGTTGAAGTTTGTTCAAGCATTTAATAACTTTGTCAAACCTTCATGGAATGTAATGAAATTTGGACAGAAGCTTTCTAATGACCAAAAGATAGTATCCAGAGCATAATAAAAATATATTTTTTCCGTATTTGACTGATAAAAGGACTTATTTTTGCAGTTAATAAGTAGATACAGTAAGATAGTCTTAGGTTAAAGTTTGTTAAACATCAATTACTTTGTCAAACCTTCATCGAATTTTAAGACAATTTGGCAGAAGCTTTTTTATGATTAAGAGATAATGTCTGAAGCAAAATTTGAAAGATCATTTTTTTTTTATTTTTCTGTATTTAACTGACAGACGGATTATTTTATATTTATTTTTTTTGCAATTAACAGACTGGATTAAATTTTTGTGACATGTTAAATCTTTATACCTTCATAGATTGTTATGACACTTGGATATCAGCTAATTGTTCAATTTCATAAAAAGCATCGGAATAAAAAGTTTGTTTTTTTCTTAAATTCCGCTTTTACACTGACAGCAGCAATCCCAGGCGAGACACATGCCTTACACATTTTTATGTTACACCTGACCATCTATAAACATTAATCAGTTCCTGTGTCCATAAACAAAATTTGTGCATAAAAATTGGAGAAAATAAGATGAAGTTAAAATAATTAATATATGACAACATTGAAATGGAAACTCTTTGCTTTTTGGGATTTTTGTCGATTGCTTGTGTTTAATCCCACATCTCCCTTTAAACATATTATAAAGTGACTGGTTTGGACATTTTTCTCTGAAACCTATGACCATTAGATTCCAAATGAACACAATAACTGATAAATTAACAAATTAGACTCTAAAGTATGTTACTATTGATGAGTTTTTTATGACAAATTTATTTAAAATAATATTTCTTTCTCAATAACGAGTGAGCTTCCTGGTGCTTCACCTCCAACGAACCTCCTACCAGGAAGTCCTCTGACCTAAACCTGCTGGTGGCACTCACGCCCCTCGCCAAGGTTCGGGCGTACACTTAAAAATGGCCAAGCTACGCCACTGTTCAGACGTAGTCACATATACAATAAATCATTTTATCAAGACATAACAGGAAGTCTGCGCGTTTCTATTTTCATATTATGTTCTTTTTAAATTTAGATACATTCCGTTCGGAAGACGTTATTCCGAATGACATTTTAGAACTGGATACAACGTCTATATTTATACATAACATGTCTGGCAACATCAATTAGATAGATTTCAACGAATTAAGTATATGTCAATGTCTAATTAAAAATGGATGATTTATCGCCAAAATGTGAAAATTTTAAGTCCTTGCTGAGATTTTCAAGCCGTGCTAATGGTTATTTCAGACATTCTAAATGAGAAAGTATTAGATTTGTCAATTTTGAAAATTAATCGGTTTATAATCTATTATGGCCATTTTATGCAAAGCTTTACATAGTACAAGACAAGTTACGTATATATACATAAACGTATAAAGTGCTCGTCCTTGAAATTACAAAAACAAGTTAAACCATAAATCACTAGAATATATAAGGGTCTAGTGGGGACGTCCTTCAGTTCTGTATATAAAAAAAAATTGTAAGCCATTTTTTTCTCTATTCTAGATAAATTTTGCCCATTTTTTCTATTCTTTATATTTTAGCACCCTTCTCTATTCATTATTTTCTGGGTATATTTTTCTCTATTCTTTATTTTCTGTTTTATTTTTCTGCAGTATTGGCCCACTATTCTCCACTGTGTAAACCCCATGAAGACCCTCATATATAGTGGGAGGAGGGTGCGTAAAAAAAATAACGGTTTTTGTTACAGTAATATTGACATGTATGGATAAGGACAATAACACATACAAATAAAGAAAATTCAATAAATAGTCTTAAGCACCTGTCCTAAGTCAGGAACCTGATGTTCAGTGGTTGTCGTTTGTTGATGTGGTTCATAAGTGTTTCTCGTTTCTCGTTTTTTATATAGATTAGACCGCTGGTTTTCCCGTTCGAATGGTTTTACACTAGTAATTTTTGGGGCCCTTTATAGCTTACTGTTCGGTGTGAGCCAAGGCTCCGTGTTGAAGACCGTACTTTGACCTATAATGGTTTACTTTTTTAAATTGTGACTTGGAAGGAGAGTTGTCTCATTGGCACTCATACCACATCTTCTTATATCCAATTAAAAAACAAGAAAGGGATGGCCCATGCCCCAAGCGGCTGTGCAGATACAAAAACAACTGAAAACTAAATCTTTGGTATCTATGAAAGAATTTTATATCATAATTTTAGATTATTTGGTTAAACACAATGTTTTCATTGACAACCTTGGCTACTATTTTCGCTTATTGAATGCTAGACACAGCATTAGTCTATAA